TTCCAATTTCCATTCTTCGGGCCTCACAGCCGACGGGCTTTTGCTGAAAATCCGCTCATTTACCCCATCCACATTCTCCACACCGCAACCGAGAATACGCTATTCCATCTGTCCGTCGCACCTAACCGAGTCTTCATAAGGTTCGTTCGCACCCAAAATTATCTCAATCTATTCGTCTTGGAGCGGAAATCCTCAAATTGAATACATCTTTGAATTGAATAATGTTATTTAGAAAGTTAACGCATTGACTTCGAATTAAATGTCGTAAATTTAGTTGATCATGAGTTTAATGATGTAATTCAGAGGTCAAATACTCTCTCTTCCTATATCTCAGTTTTTCCATGAGAAGAAGAAAATAACCAACAATCTAACATCACATACCTGTATGCTCATTCCCAATGCATTGTTATTCACCAAATCAAGAACAGTCACACACATTGAAGAATATTACTCTGGCTTGCTCCTCACAGCAAATTTTCACTCACAGGCTTTAAACACTAATCATTAAAACATAAAACCAAACAATTTGATACCATTGAAGTGTAAGCTTCAGTCTGGAAACAAAAGCGTAGACATCGAATCATGAAATAGTGTGCTTTCAATTGATGAAAAAAAAAAAAATATCATCTGTTATTTTCTTAAAATCCCCGAGTATCAATAAATCATCAGCCACCACGTTACTAAGTACGCATAAATAAATGTACAGCTGATGGATCAAGCAAGTTAAAAATCGAGCTGAGAAGTTGCAAAAAAACTCCCATGAAACTTCAAGGACTATATATTAACTATCTACCAAATGGTTGCTAGTGGATGGTATGATTTGGACTTTATCGATACACTTCCCAGTGGATAGCTTCCGTCCAGCAAGCAAAAAATGCAAAGCTCAGCATTTCTTTCCGTCAGTGTCTTAAAGAGAATAAAGTATTCATCTCCATATAGTGCAGAAAGGATGATGATGGCCCAAGAATTGGTTAAAACTGATATTTAGACCAAAAGCACAACTGGGGTCCAATCAATTTTTACTACAGAAGCAACACTTTCCATATCTTTCTCATGTACACGAACAATGACCATAATGATAGCCAAGCTGAAACGTAGAGTAACACTACTCCAGACGACACAAGGGTTCCGGCACCTACAAGACTGCACAGAGAGAGAGAGAGAGAGTATCAGATTAAACGTGGAATTTGGAGTGATTCCAACAAAAACCCTCAAGGTCTAGTTACATAAACCCTAGCTATCTTTTAAATTGAGAATCTCCTAGCTAGACATCAGTTTCAATCTTACGAAATGCACCACAATATATGGAGATACTTGT